TAATAAAGACTGGGTTTCACCATGTTGGTCAGGCTGGTCTTGAACTCCCGACCTCAGGTGATCCGCCTGCCTTGACCTCCAAAGTGCTTGGATTACAGGCGTGAGCCACCCACCACACCCAGCCAACATTCTTCTTGTAAGAGCACTACTCCTCAGCCTTAGGGCCTACACTAACCCAGGATGACCACGTCTGAAAACCACATCTGGAAACCGTATTTTCAAAGCAGGTCACATTCTGGGGTTCTGAGTGGATGGGAATTTTGGGGGACACTATTAAATCCAGTACACTAGGGAAATGCAAATATAAAGGACACGGGCCAGGCACGATGGTGCACAGCTGTAATCCCAGCACCTTGGGAGGCCAAGGTGGGTGGATCACTTTAGGTCAGGAGTTCGAAACCAGCCTGGGCAACATGGGGAAACTCCATTTCTACTAAAAATACAAAAATTAGCTGGGTGTGGTGGTGTGCAACTGTAAGTGCAGGTACTTGGGAGTCTGAGGTGGGAGAATCGCTTGGGAGGTGGAGGTTGCAGTGAGCCAAGATGACACCACTGCAGCAACAGAGTGTGACTCTCTCTCTAAATAAATAAATGACATGAAGTAGACCACCTCACTTCCATCATACTGGCAAAAATTGAAACATCTGTGTCATGGGTTGCATTCTACAGTAGTAGGCGGTGTTTTTGGGGTCAAGATGTTTATTAGGAATCATTCCCTGTGAGAGGAACAAGATGGAAGCAGGACTGGGCAGAGGCAGAAATCCAACTGCACTGCAGGCTCAGTAAAGCTTCAGTCAATATAGTGGGGGCCTCTGAATGAATATTGCCCCTGAGCACGTTCTTCACGGGGCTGAAATGGCTGGGTTTTTATATCCCTAGAAAAGTGCTGCCCCAAAGGGTGTGCCCTCCAGCAAGGTGGCTTTCTGTTGCTGAGGGCCAACTGCTGACCACACTCCTGTGACCTGGCAGCAAGTCCTTCCCTGGAAAAGGATGTGGGAGGCAGACTTACGTCTGACAATACAGAAAGGTGGTCTGAATGAAGAATGTGGAAGGCTGAAAAACGATTGCTCCAAAGAGAACCACGTCGAATCTCTGGAAGCTATGAATGTGACCTTATGTGGAAAAAGAGTCTTTGCACATGTGATGGTGTTAAACATCTTGAGGTGAGGAGGGAATCCTGGATCATCTGGGTGGATCCTAAATGCCATCCCAAGTGTCCTTATAAGAGAGAGGTGGAGGGAGTTTAGCCTGACCCACAGAAGTGAAAACAAAGGAGGCAGAGATTGCAGTGATGTGGCCACAAGCCCAGGAGTGCTCGCAGTCACCAGGAGTTTGGAGGAGTCAAGGACAGGTTCTCCCTGGAACCTCCAGAGAAATCATGGCTCTGCCAACCCCTTGGTCTTGACCAGTTAAACTGATTTCTGACTTCTGACTTACTGGATAGGCCAGAAGAATCCATTTCTGTTGTTTCAAGCCATGGAGCTCGTGGTAACTCATGGCAGCCACAGGAAATGAATGCAAAAAAGCAACAGGAAAATTGCTGAGGGGACATAAATGGGTGTACTGGTTAGAGAATCCACCTGGGGGTGGCCATGGGGGATCAAGAGTTCACACCTATGGAACATCTGGAAGAGTGCCTGGAACACATCCCCCTAATATTGGCTGCTCATACCCCCAACTCCCTGCTGAGATCTCCTTGAAGGGGACGCCTCGCATGAAAACAAAGAGAAAGCCCCCTCCAATGGCAGCCCCACCACCCACCTCAGATCAGAATGCAGCTTCTGCCTGCCCCCAACTCCCCACTGCACCTGGTGTAGCCCACCAGCGACTGATCTTTGGTTTTGCCTTGCTTGTCACCTCGACCAGGCTGGACACCCCCAGGATCTCTGGTCTCCTGTCCTTCCAGAGAAAGGGGAGTGCTGAGGAGAATGGCAGAACCTCTCTTCTCCCTGTTTTGGGGAAGAAATATCCCTGAAGCCTAGATCTACTTGCTGGGCAGAGGTCAGTAAAATGGGATGGATGTGTAATTGATTGATTGGATCTGTAATTCAATGGGGCCTCATAGCTATACACCCCAAAAGGGCACCAAGGTCCTTGGGGCTCCTTTAGGTGAATTTAACTTGCTTTACTCATTAATAACACATTTCTGAAAACGTGCCTACTGTGTCTTTGTATATGGCATGTTACACTTAAAGCTAGTGTTAGGAAGGTGTGCTTAAAGCTGAGATTTTTTAAATTATTTATTTATTTTATTTTATTTTATTTTTTATTTTATTTTATATTTTTAGAGATGGGGTTTCACCATGTAGGCCAAGCTGGGCTTCAATTCCTGACCTCGTGATCCGCCTGCCTTGGCCTCCCAAAGTGCTAGGATTACTGGCATGAGCCACCGCGCCTGGCCCAAGCTGAGATTTTTAAAAAAAATTTTTTAAGATGGAGTTTTGCTCTTGTTGCCCAGGCTGGAGTGCAATGGTGCCATCTCAGCTCACTGCAACGTCCGCCTCCTGGGTTCAAGTGATTCTCCTGCTTCAGCCTCCAGAGTAACTGGGATTACAGGAGTGCGCCACCATGCCCGGCTAGTTTTGTATTTTAGTAGAGATGGGGTTTCTGCATGTTGGTCAGGCTGGTCTGAAACTCCCGACCTCAGGTGATCTGCCCCTCCACACTCAGCTTCCCAAAATGCTGGGATTATAGACCCGAGCCACCTTGCCGGCCAAAGGTAACAATTTTTATAAAGCAATAAAGTGGCTTGTATGTGAGGAGTGACATTCATAGCTCACAGCCTTATCTCAAACTCTCCTCCCAACCCTGCTCCTCCCAGAAATAAATACCCTGAAGGCCAGGGGTTGGGCCTAACTTCCCAGGCTGACCCCTCCCTGGGTAACGTGCTAGAGCTTCACACCTGCATCTGGTCCTGGTGGTGCTTGGGAAGGGGGAGCCACAAGTGGGCCTGCCATGGCACTTATGGGGGCTCCTTCTGCAGAGTGGGGCCAAGAGAACAGGAATCTGCTCCCCTGGGTCAGACATCAGAGAGGCTGGGATCTCTGAGGCACAGGGAATGAGCAAGCCCTTTCCTCTATAGATGGGAAATGGGGACCTGACTCTGGGGTTACTGTCTCCCAGACCAAAGCCCATCTCACCAGCCTTCTGGTCTCTTCCCAACACCTGAGCTGGAAAGAGTTTTTGTCTTCTGAACCAGATACCCACTCTCTGAGTAGACCAGGCCTTTCATAGAAAGTGACAGATCTAGGAAGCTGTGGCACCTTTCTGGGACAGCTGTGTGTACTTTGCACTAGAGGCAGGGGACCCTGCAAAATAATATCCTTCAATTCGAATCAACCCCCAGGGAGATGATAGCATGACAGCAAGCCAGCTGTAGCTGGAACCGCAAGAAGGCAAATAAATGGGTTTTCTTGCAAGTTTACCTGCCCCAGGGAGACTGGGACAAAGCCATTGGCTACATTAACAGTTTATTTGGGTAAAAACAATGTTTGTGTTTCTCATTTGTATTTTCAGGCTTGCATAAGTACCTACTATATGTCAGGCCTGTATCAGTGATACATAATTCTGGGCTCAAAGAGCTAAAAGTTTATAAGTGGAAATCAATAATGGTATATATATCATGTTAAATAGAAGTATATGAGCAGGTTCTATGGGAACACAGAAAGGAAAACAAGAAAACGTCTGGTAGGGTGGAAGGTGTAATCATTAATTCAGGTTTTGAGGGATGAATAGGAGTTTGTTTTGGGTCACACAGGTGATGGGGAGGACATTGCTACCCAAGAGCACAGCCAGCACTTCTAATCCCACCGTTCTAAGGCAGCCTTGTGCCTACCAAGGCAGGCAGAGAAGCGTCTACTGTTCAGGGACAGTTGACATGGCGGGGTGGGCGTGAGAGGAGGCTGCAGAGGTCCCATCCTAGGAGAGCCAGGCCAAGTGGGTTCTGCTATGGGCTGTGGGGAGCCTTTGGAGGACTGTCCACCCAAGGACATTTTAAGGGAAGAGGGGCTGTTTCAGATGGAGAATACAAACCCAAGAGGCCATCAGAAGCTGGAGTGGGTAGAAGCAGGATTGGAGATGGAGGACAGCTCTTAGAGTTAGTGAGCTGGGATTTCCAATGTAACTTAGAGGGAGAGCCAGGGAAAGGGGGGATTTTATGCCTTTCTCTACCTCATGCCTCACTCTGTGCCTGACACGCACATCCCCAGTCCATGAAGGAAGGTAGCTGGTGCTTGGATTGGCACCTGAGCTGGGCTGCAGTGGGCCCAGGAGTGGCAGAGACATTGAGTATGCAGCAGATGTTTTCTACTCTCCAGCGATGCCCATCCAAGGGGAGAGAGAACGCAAGTGCAAACAGGAGAGGCCACCCCTTGGTGGCTGCACAGCAATGCTCCCCAGGCACAGAGCCATCTGCAAGAGCAGCCCTGGCTGAGGGCTGCACACAGGCTTGGCCGATGGTGGGTTTACAGGGGGAGTGTGGCTGCAGATCAGAGAGGACGATCGCCCCCTGTGTGCACACACTCTGCCCCTGTCCCCAACCATGTGCCCATCTCCTGCCTTCTTGCCTTTCCTTCTCTTCCAGCCTCACTAGGGGCCTATCTCTCCTTTCCTTGAGAACTTGCTCCAGGTTTTGCCAACTTTATAATACCCAGGAAGGCCCTTTCGATTGACTGCTGGGAGGAGTTGAAGCCAGTGGTACTTTGCTAATGGAGAGACTGTCACAAGTCTCTTTGAGAGTCTGCTACGAGTATAATCTATGCAGAAAAATCAATGCCCCTGCCCACAAACATGGAATTCTGCATATGATCTCAAGGGCCTTGAAGCCCACCTCCAAGCAAAGGGGGAGAGGGATGACAGTGTTTGAGGTTGTGGTGGGTCTTGAGAGCCTGACCCGAGGAGAGGCTGGTACCCCTTTTTTTCTACCTAGGGAGATTTTAAGGAGGGGCTCCTTGGGTCAGGAGGAAGCCACAGCCCCCAACCCAGTCCCCACTTTGAGGCTTCAGGCAGGGGAGTGACAGCCTGGGAACCGGTCTGCCAACCAGTTTAACCAGGGACTGGTTTCGACTCAGGGAGTTCAAAGGAAGCTGGGGTGCACCCTGTCCTACCCAGCCTGCCAATGGAAGCAGCAGCCCTTAACCCTTTCCCGGTTGTGCTCTGGGCAACATCCAGGTGGTGGTCCATGCTGGAGAGGGATCTGAGCTTCCTTGAAAGATGAAATGCGTAGAGTGACCTTGGCTACAGCTGGGAAGTGCAACCAGACACCCAACAGTGGGGAAACTGAGAGACAGCCTCCTGTGCTCCGCCACTCCAGATCTCCCTTGGGATTCCCTCCTCCAGCGTGGCAGTCCCCCGGAGGTCCCCGGCTTCTGGGTGGACGCATGGGCGCTAGGATTGAATTTCCAGCATGATGAATATTCATTAGCCTGAGCCGGCCTCTGCTTCTGTTTACTTAGCTGGGAGGGGCTGGGTTTCAGGTTCACCGTGACTCCAGGAGCTGCCGCAGAGCAGGTACTAGCTCCTGCACCTGTTTCTCTTGCACCTGATGTGCAGCTGCTCCTACCCACCTCTCCTGGCCGAGCCTTGCCTCGGACAGCACCCCGGAGGCACCCCTTCCTGCCTGAGTCTCAGCCTCCCAGGCAGCTCCTACACTCAACTGCTTCTCTAGGAAAGGTGTCACCTCCAGCCTGGAGCAGTCGGGATTACAGGTACAGGCAGAGGGCCGGTGGGTGGGGAAACCAAGGCACAGACCCCAGTCAGGGCACCCAGTTCTGCCAGTTCTTCTGGGAAAGAAGAACCCAGGCCTCTAACCTGGACTCCACTCAGGACTCATCCCACTGGCCTCTTGGAGTCAGTCCAGGCCTCCAACAGAGCTCCTGCTGAGTAGTTTTCTGTTAACTCTTGCTGAACGGGAGCCCACCCCTCTGACCCCGCAGCCTGGAGCATTTTTCCAGCTGTCTGGTAGGAACATCTCCCCATTTTTATCCAGGGTACCCCAGTCTCATTCTGCATGGACAAGCATCATTAGGAGCCCTGGAGAGGGATGGTGGAGGGAGTTCTGTGTTTTGTCCAACAACACATTAGCTGACTTGCTTCCCCTACCTGCCCCTCTGCCACTCCACCTCTGCCCCAGTCAATGGTTAACTTCTTCCAGCTCAGAAGGGGCCTGGCTCAGTCTGGGCAAAGCCCTTCGGAGCAGCTCACAGAACCCAGCTGGGATGGAGGGGCCTGTCCCAGGACACCCATGTGCATGCCATAGTGCTGGTCACCAAAGACCAGGTGGCAGGCTGTTCCTTGAGACCCTTCATGGCCCCAAAGCTGTGCAAACAGTAGAGGTGAAGCTGGCATCCTCAGGGGCTGATTTCTATCATCCTTGGATTGCAGGGCCCCAGGGCAAGGGCCCAGCCCTTAGCTTGGCCAGCTCAGGAACCTGCATGAGCGAACTGCAGGGCCCACCTTGTGTCACCAAATGCTGGGTCAGTTTGGAGTCCGGAGCACCTGCCCGCCCCCCCCCCAACCCCCTTCAGCCCTCTGTGATTATGCAGGGGCACAAGGTTGTAGATATCTTGTTCTTTGCAACTTTGAGAATCTGGGAGGTTTGGACACCACATCACCTTTTTTGTTTGCTTGTTTTTAAAGCAAATCAGGCTTTACACTATCTTTTATGATCGCTATTTACAGAATCCTACAGCTGGGTTATTTTGTAAAACAAAGAATATTCCGCTAATTTTTCTGTTTTGCAAATTCAGATTTCCATAAGTCAGGCTTGCTTAAAGGGCAAACACCTGCTTACTGGTGCCTACATGTCCTCCTGGGCAGAAGAGACCAGAA